CAACCGAGTACAAAGGTTATAACTTGAAGAGATAATTGTTTGCTTTACTTCTTTAGTTACTGTTCTATGTTTTAAGAAAAATAAGTTTAAGTTTCTAAATTGTTACAAAAATCCTGAAATTATATATACAAGGCCAAAGTAAAGTATTAAGTTGTATAAATCTGTAATTGTGGTTTTAATTTTTGTTTCATTACTTTTTGTAGCAGGATCCCTACATCATTTTAAAACTCTTGTCTAATAATCTACAGCCCAAAAATTCCATTTAACCATTGAAATTCATGTAACCATTATACATACACATTCAATTCAACATTAACATAACATAATATTTTGGGACAATGTGGGACCCACTGGTCCATCTCGGCTGTTCCATCCTTAAAATTAAGAGTGATATGAAATAATGTTTAGCTGCACACATTTGTGCCAGAAAAAAAATACTTTATTGTTTACAAAACCTGAAGCAATATTTATTTTCACCACTAATTATTATTAGAAAAAACTAAGCAAATACTAATTGACTGTCCGATCTCATTGAAGCTTTCAAGATTATTCACGAGATTGATTGGATTAAGGTTTCTATTTTTAAACTATATTTTGAAGATAAAGCGTGAGAAGACAAAAGTTTTAAGACTTGATAAGGATAGGCTTGGCTCTTGTTGATTAAGACAGTTTCATTTTTTCTGATGGAATGATTTAATTGCTATTGTTAGTAGTGGAGGTCAGCAGTTTACAAGATATTTAGAGAAGAACTGATGATTTCATGAAAAATAAAGGGTGTGTTTAAATCTTTACTTTCCCCATGGGGTGATTTGCAGTGAGAATATTGAAGGACCAAATGATCCCTTGTTGTTTGTATGCTAAGTTATTATTTAGTTCAGTTGATTTCTGTATGGAGGTATTTTTGACATTACCAAATTACAGTAATCAAAAATAGCACAAGGTGTATTTGATTTAAAAAATCACTAAAATTTTAATAATATATTTGGGTTTTATTTTTAATAATGATAAATGAAATTATTTTGAGGTAGATTTTTGCATCATATTGCAAATGCCTAAATGCTGAAATAGAACTGTTATAGTTTTTGTTTCCTACTTACTGTCTTCATTTTCTCTTTTATAAAATTCTTCTGTCATTTGTCTTGTAATGGAAGCTTAGCTTTTGGTAGACAGTTATAATTTATGTCATAAAAAATCTTCTACTATAAGAAAACATGTGAACAACAAGGGTCCTTCTACTCTGTCCCTGCATGCCTACTCTTGAGAAGAACTAAACCCCCTATTTTTCAGGAAATCATTAATTTCCCCTTTTATAACTCATATAAAGTACCGGCCTCTACAACAATGATTCTTTAAGCCATTAATCATCTCGTAATGAAAATAAAACTGTCCAGCTGAAGCCTAACTTGTCTTTTTAAAATCTTATTTAAACTTGTTGCCTCTTGTATTTTCTTCAAAGTATAGCATAAGAGGTCTTTGTTCTATTCCCCTGATAATTTTATAAACTTTAATAAGATCATCTCCTACCTTTCTTTTCTCAAGAGAAAGTATATTAAGAGATTTTAAACTATTCCTATGAGATAATCTTTTCATTCCTGGGATCAGCCGATGAACACTGGTGAATATTGTTTCTTAGATAAGGAGACTAAAACTAAACAACATTCCAAACGAGGTCTATTTAGTGATTTATATAAAGAGATAATTACAATGTAAATATTTTCAAGTTTATTGTTAAAGATAAACATTCTATTTAATTTATTCTTCTAGCTACATGAAAAGCAGTTTTTTCTGGAAGAAGGATTTCCACATTCATTTTTTTAAGTTAGCATTGAAAAGAGCAAGAAGAAAATGCTGTTGAAGTACCAGGGAAAATTTGGGTAATTTTTATAATTTTCCTCTTAGTTTTAAATTACTATGTGATATTGATTGAACATTCAAGTAATATTTTAGTTTTTATAATATTTATCTGGACTTAATTTGTCTGCTTTTAATAATTCTGAGATGTTTGTAGTCACAACCTGAAGAAGCTTAGCTGTTGCAAGTGTGCTCAAGTGTCATCTGTAAACAAATGAAATTTAGAATAAAAACTTACTACAGGTGTCTTATTATTATTCTGTCATTGGTGTGTATAATGATATGTCACATAATGATTGTGTCAACAGATGCTTGCATCTCAAGGAAGAAATAATGCTAACTTGATTCCTCACAAGATACTGAAAATCCTGAAGCAAGGATGTCTTAGAAAATACCTGAAAGATTTGGTAAACTTACATAATTTTCCAATAAACAATTTACTTTATTAGAAACAATAAATTAAATAATCAAGTTAGGGTTATAACATTTTATTACTAATTTTATTGTCTTGTAGCTCTGGCCTTGTCTGTGTGAATGATGTGTAAAACAATATTGTGTATGAAGAAAGGTATCACGTTGAGATAATCTTATATGATAAAGGAGGCATATTCATAAAGGAGCTCAAATTACTTACTTTTACTTGAGAAAAGAAGAGTAAGAGGTACTTTTATTAACAGCAACTCAGAAGTTTCCTACTTACATATTGTGCAATTGTCTTAAACTGCTTAAGCTACAGTATGAGATGTACCTCAAAAGTCACATGATATTGGATATACCAGATGTTTAATATTGATTGGTTTGATATGTATAATTATATTAACCTTGTTCCTTTAGGTAACTTGTAAAATTAATGAGCTTCAGGAGGGGGATGTAAAACTTAAAACAAGCATGTAAAATAGATATTTCAAGATAGATTATAAATTATTTAGTTTAATTATTTTTATTGTCAACAATGAATGATAATCATTACAAACTAATAATGAAACTATTTACTATCACGATGCACTTCCAGTTTTTAAAATGTTTATATTTTGCCTGATATACTTATAACAATGTACAATGTATTTCAGATACATCTTTGTCAATATCACAAGTCATGTAAAAGTGGTAACTAACATTCCCCCTTCTAGCTTTATGGCTTCTACAAATTCATTTTGGAAAAGTAAATTTTAATAGGAGTTAGAGAAATTAGGCTTTTACTTTTAATTAAAACTAAAAACTTCTTTGTACAATTGCCTATGAAGTTCTAACTAGTGATTTCACAATTCTCTATAAAGTAGAGACTGAAAAAGAACTTCATAATCAGTATCAAGAAGCTTACAGTCAACAACCAGAAAAATGTAGTGCCATTGATGTTAAGAATCTAGGCTTTGTGGCCTATTGGACAGATAAGTTTTTAGTTTTACCTTTATTAAAAAA